AAGAGATGAAAGAGGAAAATTCAAAGAGAAAATGATGACGGTCATCATCTTGACACGCTTCTAAACAACTTTTCTCTCTTGCTTGTCTCTGCATTAAAATGCAAGCAAGAGAAATGAAAAGTGTTTACTGGAAGCGTGTCTATCTGGCGGTCTTTAATGAATCAAGAGCTTTCTTCTGGACGTCTTTCCTTTTCTCTTTTATAGTGGACGCCCAGAAGAAATTAGCTCTTGAATTCATTAACCGCCAGATCATTCCTTCATGAAAGCAAAATAATTTCTAATAAAGAAAAAGTATAACCTCAATGTGAGCATATTAAAGGAAAAGAGAATGCTCACGAGGTTATTTTTCTTATGAAATTTGCTTTCACCGAAGGAATGCCTTTCTTGTGCCTGACCTGGGGATAAAGCCGATCATCATCTGCGTCTCAAACGCAAGATCGGCTCCCAGGTCAGCGCTTCAGCGCACAAGAAAGGATTGACCCAGCCATAATGATTAAAAATGAATTAAAATGAATCCTTCTATGACGATGGCAACTTAAAAGAAGAGAAGAAATAGCCATCGTAAGGATTCATTTTGATCATTTTTAATCTAATGGCGGGTCAACAACAATTTCTTTTTATAATCACCTTTCTTCTTTTCTAAATTGACCGCTGGAATGAATGCCTTTCCTCTCTTTCTTTATTGTGGGCTCATAATGAGCTCATCTTCAGATGACCACAAGAAAGAGAGGAAATCATTCCAGCGGATCAATTTTTGAAAGAGAAGGTGATTATAAGAAATTGTTATTTTATTTTCATTTTATCATCAATTTTCATTTTTTTCAAATAATAAATGTTTGCGGTGATCTTTTCTTTAAGAAAAGCAAACATTATTTGAAAAAGAAAATTAGATGATAATAAAAATGAAAATAAAGCCTTCCGTTTCCTTATTCTTCTTTATAATAAATGAATTTGTGGACATAAATTGTTGGCAGACAAGTCCACAAACAACATTTATTAAAAAGAAGAGGAAACGAAGGTTAATTTCTTTCATAAAAGTTGTTTGAACACATGACGATGAGCCCGAATTCTTCTTTTTCTTTATGACGGGCTCATCATGTGTTCACAACTTTAGAAAAAAGAAATTAAAGAAATTGTGTTTGTAATGCCAATGAAAGATAAACCCATGAAATAATAAAATG